CAATCCTTTGGCAGTTTCACAAATATTCTATGCGTCATTCCCTCAATTAACGTTGTCACACTTGCTGATACACATGTGAGACACTTCCAAAAATTGCTACACACTTCTATTCTGTTATTTTACTAGTTATTTTCCCCTTCTGCTCACTAGCAAATCGACAAGTTCTTGGCATTTGCTGACATTTGAAAAAGTCGACAGCGTTGTGAATTTGTGCCTTTTTCGGATTTTCCATGCCAAGTGTCTCTGTTCTTGAGGAAAAGCCAAAAACACGAGGGAGGAAGGGATTTTCCGTGGGGAGATTGGCGCATCCATCCATCAAATCGCAATGCGCATCACTGCCACTTGGTGCGATAATATGCCTAGAATGAATCTCATTGTGAATTTCCCCACAGATTGGATTTCATCCCATTTACATGTCTCTCTTTGAGCTCATTACGCGTTGTGAGGTGATATTCCAAATCCACCACTTTTCCTAACCTGTTCCTCACACTTGGTTCTATTCTTTTTCCAAAGCTAATCCAATTCTCTACCCTCTCGGAAGGCTTGTCTGCATGAAAATCACCCTCGGATTGTATTGTAATGTGACAAAAAGAGTGATAATGCCAGAAAAACCCTATGACATTCCTTATCGGGAAAACCACCTCAAATATTTCAAACAAACACGATTTGTTTATTTCAATGACGGCATTATTGCACGAAGTTCACCCTCCGACTTTCAACCCTCTGTGGCAAGCGCTAATGCAATTTTCACAGCCGCACATTGCGGACAGAATCACTCAACTTGCGGTGATACTCGAAATTGCTCATTGTGTCAAAGGAAGAGAATGTAAAAAAAAATTCAATTTCAACGCATTTCAAATATTGGCAAAACGGAAATTAATACAGAATTGATGTAATTTCGCATCAGCTGTTCAGAAAGGAGGCAACGCGCTATCTTTGAGCAGCACGTCTCTGACAGCGTCAAGATTATTAAAGAGTGTACGCGCAATGCAAAAAGGGGTTCAATTAAGGGAATTGTATATAATTTCACCCCTTCGGAGGAAGATTCTTCTCTCTGGAGAAGTGTTGGCGTGTAGCCATGACACTCTATGAAACCATCACCCAAAAACAACCCTTAAATGTGCGGTTTAATCTGAATTTAGCTACTCTCGTCCCCTTTGACTTCTTTGCCCTATTGTTTGCTGTTTTTGTTTCATTTCACGCATTCAATTCGCGTCAAAAATTAGATAAGAAAGTTTGCCGGGGATGTTGATAGGGTGCAGACATCATTCTCATTTATTTGGGGTGAAATGGTGCATTTCGATATGAATGTTTTTTGCCCCGCCAGAGAGAGAGAGAACAAAACGCGTGTGCGGCAATTATACAGGAAAAAGACAACTGAGAGTGCATTTAGTGGCGTTCTTCGTGGCTAAATCCATTATTCATGGAGTGTAGAAAGTGGCGGGATTAAAATTTAATCCTTTTCCACCACTTTTGGGGATAATACTCCTCCAATGGCGCGCTTTGGGTCGAGGGAAATGAGGTCTATATTAGCATTGTTTTTCCCAGACTCTGCGCCTTCCGCCACAATTCACTCTGCCGAACACCCTCACATTGGCTGTGTGTGTGAATAAATCTTTCTCAATATCTCCGTGACGCCCCGAATACATGGTCAGATCCTCCCAGTACATGTTCCAGAATTCTCTTCGGGGGATCCGCAACACGATGCGATAAATGTATCATCTCGTCGTTATGTGTAACTGGGAGCCTCCCTCGAAACATTGTGGCATTTTGGGGGCACTTGAGAGCGGCGCTCTGGTGAAAAAAAAAGCAGCCCAACACTTTAATAATATCTATGGCACTAAGTCACCCTAAGTTGCGGCCTCAACAGTTCTTCTAATCATGCGATATTGTGTGTGTGTGAGGTCTTCTGATAAATTAATAGCTCCTCTCGGGAGACATTACTCTAATCTCGTGGCCAAATCTATTAGGCAGCGAGATCAATTTCCAAAATAACCATAAAATATTGAGAAGTGTGAAGAACACTGCCAATAAATCACCAAATGTCGAAACATAAAAAACGAATCTCTGCCCTCGAGGTCTGGCCATCGGGAGGCCAAGGGGTGCATACGATATGAGATATTGCTTCTTGACTTGTGCAATCCACAAAATATCCATTCTCAGATTCTCACTCAACTGCCGCAGTCCGTGATACGTTTCTGACGTGAATTTATTGAGGGAGTTGTGGACCACTTGAGGGTGGAAATTTATCAAATATCGCCTTTTTACGCACTGCCTGCGATATATTAAAGTGGTGAATTAATTCCCTTAGGGGTGCTCCTCTCATGTCTCGCAATTCAACCTATTTTCTACTGCGATGACTGCCGGAAAAAAAACGTTTCGTGACATGATAATGAATGGTTTGCTTAATGGCTAATTAAACAGTCATAAAAAATAACATAGGAATTGTGTAAATTTGTACATTAATCAAGTATTGTTGATCTTTTGAGGCGAAGTGTGGGGAAAAAGGCGAAAACCGCGAGCGTGTCTTTTGAAGGTGCACAGATCGTAAAAGTGTTAAACAGCCCAGAAGTTGGCTTGGTGGAAAAAATATGGTGGAACATTAAAAAGTGACTCTCTGTTGGCTAAACACTGTTCCGGCAGAGGGCCCAATAAAAATAATTAAAGCAATACTTTATGCTAAATTAGGGTAAAGTAGTGTTTACAACACACTTCTGCTCGGGCTCCCCTTTGCACATTTTTCATCCTCTTCTGTGGTGTGCAATTAAAAATTAGGATTTGCCTCCTTTCTTCTCGTCCATCGCGACTGATATTAAAATTTATTTACCATCCGATTAATTGATTTATGACACACTTTTGTCACACAGGCGCTCATCTCCAGCACAGCAATTAACTCCAATCGAAATAAGAATTTTAATGCAATTCACTTTTTATGAAATTTAATTCGAGCACACACTGTCTCGGCATGATGGTGGCGACACTTCCATGCGATGATGGGTTATGCTCTCTGCAGGGACTTGGAGGCGTCCACATGAAAGATAGCGAGTGTGATTAAGATTGATGTGATTTCGTTGCATGCGTCCATTCATTTACATTTTATATGGAAAGTGTAAGAGAATTTTTATTGAACATCTGGTCATTGCTGGTACTTTAAATGCTGCGTGTAATAACTGGAGATAAGGCGCGCGCTAGCTTCACAACTGTGGGTGAAATTATGTGGAGATAGGGCAAGTTGAGAGGGCGAAAAACTCTGTCCATCATCTAACACACTATCAATAGCAATATCTGTGATTCATAGTGCTCTGGCGATGGCTAAAATGCTCGCACTTTCCATAAAAATGCACGATGCGTTAACTGAAACACGTGCTCAAAGATGATCCCTCGTCATTGCTCGAGGCAGTCGAGAGCTATTAGTGCTTCATCTCCATTCTCCTTCTCTTAAGTGGTCTGAAAATGATCTTTTTTCCTCTTGAGAACGACAAACAGGTGGATGAAATTTCTTTCTACTATTTTTGACTTTTCCCTCGCACATGATATTTATGATCTCTCTTGATTTTCACTCGAGAGCCTCTCACTTTGGGCCATCGGCGGGCGTTTTTGAGTAACTCAATAGTTAATTCATCTGCGGGCAACGCGCGATGAGTCCTCCTTCATAGAATTCATACCATGTCTGTTAGACAATTGTTTTTCCTGGAATTGGAGACGCGGAAAAAATCTTGCAAATATTCTCTAGCATACCACAAAGTGTATCTCAACAATAAATCTCTCTGGCTGAGGGATGTTGGGAAAAATCCGGAGAAATTCAAAGTGTTCTTGAGTTGGCAGAGATGGAGAAAATGAAGCACTTTTTAACCAGTTCAGCTGGTGAGATCCACAATTTGAGGAGTCGTGAAAGACAACAAAATAATTATTTGTCATTCTTGAGTGGTACATCATGTTGGCTATAAATTATATCACTTCTCCTCAAGAAAAATAAATTGTCTTCAATTGCCGCTGTAACATATGTGACAACAAGTAACGATTAATTGCGCTACAATTAGAAAACATAAATAGACCAAATAGAGCATTTGGAAAAGTTCTTATTAAACGAAATTAGACGAGATACTCGAATTACTCTCTCGCATACTTTAAATACACTCCACATACATGAAACTGCCAGATGGTGAGCATGAGAGTCTTCTTATGCGGAATTGCAAAATGAATAGCATGAGTTAGAAATGATTGGAAGATTTCTCAGATTTTCACTGGACAAGCACCTGATTTTTGCCTGTGATGGCAAAGGTGAGCTGAGAACGCAGGAATTCCATAATTTTCCCACCTGAAATATGCCAATAATGCCATGTTTCTATGCAACTAATCATCCATCATAGGATTGCTTCTCTGTCTTGCCTCTCAGTCTTTGCGGCAATGAATAAATTTTAGCACTTGCCATTATGTGGCTTCTCAGCAATCAATTACAATGGTCACTTTCGTGGGTATATTAAATGTTGGCAATTAAAAGCTGGAGAGAAATCTTCAATTTACTCCACGAGCAATATTGATTTGCGAGAGATGTTTTCGTCATAAATAAAGGGTGTCTCTTCTGGATCAACACTATATGTTGTAGTTGGCGAAGAACCTCTAAATAGCAAATAAGGCGCATTAAATGCTGAGAAGCCATGTCGAATTTCACTCCCGAGAGATTCGCTCAATTAACTTCTGGGCCTACAGTGTTGCAAAGGTGATGGGGTGTGAGATAGTGGAATGTAAATTTGTAAATTGGGTGCATGATGTTGGCAGTAGAGATTCTGCACAGAGAATAGCCCTGGGAGACGTCTGTGGCGTCAGACGAGTTGTAAATCACTGGAAGCGCCGTTAAGAGCTGCTCTTCACGAACTTCCACCAGTGCGCAATTTACCTTAATGAGAGTCTCTCGTGGGTGTCGCACACATCGTCTCCCCGGTGCTCATCTCGTGGCCCTCACGATCACGAGGACTCACCTCTGACCGCCTCTCTTGCAGACGCCTGCGGCCTGTCCGACGTCACCCACATCGAGTCCCTGCAGGAGAAGTCGCAGTGCGCGCTCGAGGAATACTGCCGGACGCAGTATCCCAACCAGCCCACGAGATTCGGGAAGCTGCTGCTTCGACTGCCATCGCTCAGGACCGTCTCGTCGCAGGTGAGTAGGCCCACAGCAGGCCAGCAATCCCTAATCGCAAGAGATTCAACCCTTTCACCCATTTCACCACGAATCTGCTGCTTTTCTCCTATTCCAATGAAGTGTCGGTACTCTTGCGATCCTTTACCATTTATTAATTATCACTATTCATCAAGAATCCGCAACAGTAATGAAGTCTTGAAGATCTTTGAAAGGGTTGAAAAGTTCTCTTGACGCACTGTTTCAAAAGAAATTTGTGAGGAGAATCTAGAATCCCTAGCCATTCTAATTTTGTCTCCGTGTTCCACGCCGTGACACTCACAAGCAGGTCATCGAACAGCTCTTCTTCGTCCGTCTGGTGGGGAAGACGCCCATCGAGACGCTGATCCGCGACATGCTGCTGTCCGGCAACAGTTTCTCCTGGCCGTATCTCACATCGATGTGACACACAGTGTGGCGTCAGCTGGCGACGACCTGATCCTCGGCCATGGGGCCCTCGCTGGCTCCCTTCAGCGGCTGCTGTAGCGCCCCGTCCTCAGCCGGCCAGGCCATGGAGCAGCTGCCCCTGGCGCCCGCGCTGCCGCCCGCGGACCACTTGCAGGTCGGCGCGTCCGTGCCCAACCAGCTGCAGGCCAGCGACGTGTCCGTCGCCGTGGACGTGAAGTGACCCGCGGAGTTGCAGGACGCCTTCCTGGCCTCCCTCCCGCTCTAGTGCGCGCTCTCTTGCAGACAATACTCCACAGCCAGTCCCTGACCCTCCGCAATCTTGTCTCATATCACGCGAGGAGGCAAAGTGAGAAGAGAGAATTAGTAGGCAATTAAGAGATATTAAATTATTGACAAATTGTATAAAGTGTAGCAAAGAATCAAGGACAAGAAAAGAGGATAGTAAGAGATCACATACTTAGGTGCCATTTGTATTAAGAAGAACACTTCTTCAGATGAAACATCAAAAATAATGTGTAAAAGTTGTAGGTTATTTTATGACTTGTTCGCAGTGTAAATTTTTCTCAGAGAAAATCACAAAATGCAATATTGCAATATCTTTTTGCCCTTTTCCCACAAACACACACGAAAACACATATATTTATTATATACTCTTCCTTGTAAAGGAAAAATCTCTTAATGAGCACAAACAATAAGGAGAAAAAAGAACATTTTATGACTTTGCAATCTTAAAGTTTTCCCTCCCAAAGCAAATCCCATGAAATTCTAGAGCAATAATATTTTATTTTGACATGAAGAAACTCTATTATTTTAAAATTTTTATATTTTTAGCTACAAATAAATTTTTTTTACATCTATTTTAAAAATATATTTTATATCTCTTATTTTATATAAATGAATTGCGAGATACTCGTCTCAGAAACCAATATATTGTTGTGATCGAAATTACTATATAGTGAAATAACTATATTATGACTTACATAGTGAAATAAACTGTAAATACCACAATTTGTACATAAATAGAATTAAATTGATGAGATAGAATTTTTCTTCTTATTTTTTTTATTCATCACTTTTCAGTTCCTCCTTTTATGATTGATTTCATTTCCAAACCACAAGATAAATTGTTTGTACAGTGAGATATTATTTTCTTCTAACAATATAGAAACCACCATAGAAAAATCTGACATAATTTCCAATCATTTTACACCGCATTTGAAATGTATTTGCAGATGATGAGAAAAAGTGTGGAAGTAAAGGAAATCCATGAACGAATCACCATTGTACAAGTTTTTTGATGAGAGATAATAGAAATTGTAATAAGTGCAGTGCATAATAAAATGATAATAAACGTCTCTAAATTATTACTGAAAAAAAACGAGCTCGAATTTCACTTTCCTTTGCAAGTAGAAAATTGTGGGTGTTTTCGCTTGTGCTCGGCGACGATAAAGGGTGAAGAGGATGAATAATACAATTTCTGATGCGGACGATATACTGAAATTGAACAATGTGACGTCACACCATCAGACTAATAAATTTGAATCAATTGCTCCGATAAATTCAAATCAGTCTCAATTGGGCCACTCCGGACGATGATGATGATTAATCAATCGCTGGGAATTAATGGACGAACATTGATTGTCACGAATGGATGTATGATTGCTTTTATTGTTTCCATCGCATTCCCTCCACGCGGTTAGATTCAGAGACATCCCATTGTGCCATCGGGTCTATTTGCACCGCGAACGGAGCTGCAATGATACTCCAAACTGTCCCCACAGCGGAATTGAATTGGACGCGGAGAGGCTCTTTCATCACATTTCTCTCACTCCAAGACATTCCTCCACCAAGACGACGAATTTATAAATTCATTACCAGCATATTGTTTTATTTTCCCACTCCCATTGAAGATTCCTCGAGGCTCCGCGATGGCAAAGACGAGGGCGAGAGTGTTTTGCAACCATGGAATGAATTGATGAATTAGTCTACATTTTTCATGCTCTCCATTCTCTCCTCATTCACTCAGCAATTTCCACTGACAGAATTATGTGAGATGTCCACAATATTTTGAATTCTTCCCCCAGCTCAATTGGTAAGACATTCTTCGCTGCGACTCTAGTCTAAATAGGGGATCTAATTGTAAATTAAATCACTCCTTGCTCGCGCTAAACTCTTTACAATTTTTGTGCACATGTTTTATTTCAACCAGAGAAATTGTGCACCGAAATTGCAGCGCATTGGAAAGTCAAAAGTACGTCTGAAAATATCGCATTTACAGTGAGGAAGAATGTAAGTAGATATTCTGTCTGATATGATAAGCCCAGGAAGAAGTTCATCTGCAGAGAGACAAAATCTACGATTCCATCTTTCCAATGTATGATTACTTAGTGTGGGAAAAAAGCAGATGATCCTCATTCTTCCGATGACCGTTGGAGATGGACATCAAAGAAATGGGAAGGTTTGTATATCTCTGTCTATTTGTTGTGTATTTGAGGAATTTAACAGAATCATTTCCAAAAGATCAATTTGTCAAAGCTGCCACTAATCGATTCTGTGACACTCAGACAATATTGGCCTTTTCTTACACGCTGATCTAACAATGGATTAATGTAAAATAGCCATGGCGAGAGTGAGATGGAATGGAAGAGAGTCCCCGTATGACAAATCGATCGCTCGTGTGAACTCTAAGCCATTTCCACTGTGTTGTATCGTTTCCAATAAAATGATAATTCGATGTGAAATTCCATCGATCATTTCTCTAAATGCACGATCGCACAGGGAAGTGGACGATCGAGACTTTCGTCGTCTCTGCCTTCGTCTTCCGTGTCTTCTGGTGCACTGGGCCGATGAGATCGACAATCGATTGCGCAGTTGTGGGACCCCAGAGGCCCATTTGGCTCATGGGCAACGCGGAGAGCGCAGCAATTTATAGTTTAGGAGCAGAGGGAGAATGAGATTAAATATGATCTCTCTCTGAGGTTTTCCCTCCACATTTGCGAGACTCCGCGGAGTTGTACAATTAATTTATGATCGAGCACTTATCGCTTGCTCACCATGCTCCAGACACACATACAACAGATCCCCTCACTATGTAGCCGCGCAGCAATATTTTCGAGGCTTGTAAAATGGCATCAGGAATGTTGGATCACGCGGCATACGCGGTGATCTATCGATTTCTATAATCAATTCGTGCAATATATCGCGAAAAGATCTAATACTTCCACGAAGGTGCTTTTTGTCTCTCGCGCGAGTGCTATTTTCGCGAAATTGTCTTGAAAGAGAACCCAAACACAAACTGCCAATGAATGGAGGAGAAATGGCAGGGAAAAAACTCAAGAAAAGATGTCGATGGAATGCGCGCCGTGCAAAAGTTGGTGTGAACAAGGCGAAGGACCTTTCACCATATTTCTCACTCTCGATCGCCTCAGCTGACATGAGAGATTCTTGCCGTCGATCTTGAGAAAGTGTGGGAAATCGCGATCGCCCTGGGAGAGGGACTAATACATATTTTGAGGGCGCATGACGATGAATGAATTAATTAATTGGACTCTCTCCTTATGCAATCTGCCCACGAACACGACTCGCTGTCTTCTTTGGACGCCAGAGAGTCACCGAAATAATTAGTTTACCTTTTAACCAAATACAGACTTCTTCGCGAGCACGATTTCCATTTAATGATTGCCTCCAATAATCAATCACTAATGCAGCGCAGTGTTCATCCCAAGAGAACATGCGGGATCGATTGCATTCGGCTTTTCAAATAGGCAAAGAACAAACAAACAAGACGCAAACTATTGACTTAGAAAAATCAGTCCTAGTTTAGTTGCTTTCTAGATCTTGTTTTGGGCTTCGCAATGCTTTTCTAGGTTATTTGACTCTGTCTTAAAACGGATTTAGTGACTGAATAATCTTCAAAGACATCAATTCTTGCGCTTAAACTGGAAGTTTGAGTACTGGCCTTAAGAACACTATGAATTTGAATATTTGCTTAAATTTTCTTCACAGATCCCGAGCAGAGAAGCGACTGAATTAAAAGTTGCGACCAAAATCCAGTGTAAATAATTTATGGCGCCCAACATTGTGCCCTAATTGCGGATTCAGAAATTGGCGTTGAATTTAAAATGGGCGCAGATGTGGCTTTTTAGCGAATATTAATTATTAACTCACCACCGTTGATGATGGTGATGAAGATGGAGTAATAAGTCGATGAAATACCTCTTAAGAAGATTCATAAAACAACAACACGGACCGGAGGGGGGCGCTTGTTGGGGAACGAAAATGGGGCGAACTACAAAGAGCGCAGGGTATATTCTTGTAAATTTAATGATGAATGGCGAAATGGGTGAGATTTGGAAGTTGCGCTGTGGTAAAAATCCACCCCTTTCGCGCTGGTCTTTTGGCAGCGCGAGGGTGAGAATTTAGACATCATCTCATCTCCTGGAGAGCTCAATTATTCCCCAGTGGATTTGCGCCCGTAATTCGGGGATTCAATTAACCAGAAGGCTTCCAGCGGCATATTGACTTTCATTATGCAAAGTGTCCTGACACCTGTGGTACGTCTTCATCTCATTAGATGCGTGGGGCGCTTGGCGACGGAAGTGACTATCTATGACAATTTGCGCCACAACATCTTAATTAATTACATTCCCAATGTGCCATTTTGTAATTATATTTCCTCTTCCTTCATCCAATGCGCGCTGCAGATGGGAAAATGCCTGCACGGCCCACAAAGTGCTCGCGATTTTCCACCGAAAAGCTGTAAAATCACATGGAAAAGCGTTCGCGGGGCGATGAAAAGGAGGAGTCTAATTAAAATGTGAGCTCTAACCGTGAGGCGAAGAGGAGATATTAATAATAAATGGTGTCTCTTTTGCCAAAAAAGACACACACCGCGAGAGAGGGAGTGATGAAAGGCACCTGCGAATGGTTTACTTTCCAGCCTGAGCGGAAAAAAAGAAACCAAACTTTTCCACCCAACAGTCAAAGTTTCGTGCATTCGCGTTTTTGGAGAACTGGCAGGAAAAACACACACAAATCACGGCCATGCAAGACAAACAGATAAACGGACAGCTTCACGGGGGTGTTTCGAAGATTTTCACACAGCAGTGATTTTCCAGTACTTTCACCCTCAAGAGTGCCAGAGTTTGCACAGTTTTCTCCTGATGCTGACTTTGTAAATTCATCTCTCATCAATCAACACGCTTCAGCTGAAATTTATTTACATGATGAAATCCACAATTTACCCAAAATCATCATCTCCATGTTTCTGGGAATATTAATTAGTTTGGTCTGTCCTTCCATCGTCCATCATTATGGAAGAGAGTGATTTTTCTTTAATAAAACAAATCATTCTCCAACATAATTCAAAGGCCGACTAGTTTTAGGTGCGCATCTAAATCTTCTTTATCAATTAATAGAGTTGCTATCGCAGCAAAAAGTGCCATTGGGCATTTTCATATATTATTTATTGACATTCATTTGCAAAATGTGCATTAGAATAAATCTTAGGTAAATTTTAATAAATCATTCATTCAGGTAATTGAATAGTTATTGGAGATGATTTTAATTGATTTTATGCAAAGAAAGCATTTTAGACTCTTCTAAATACCTCCAAGTGATTTTCATGAGAATAGTTTTACTACTACGATAAATTCTAAGAAGTTGCTGAGAAGACTGAGAAGAGATATCTCCGATTTTGGACGTGCTCCGCCTAATCGAGCAGCACGAGCCGATAAAAGCTGTAAAAGTGCGGAATGCTCGGAATTCTCACCTGATCAGTGACGAGCGCGCCCTGTAATTTAGAGATCGTCGTGTCGCGCTTCCCGATCGACTGTCGACACGGAGTTCACGTGGGTCAGCTGATGAGCCTGAGTGGGTGCAAACCCCACGTGGTCGTAAATTTCGCCCGAAACGAACTGATTGACACGTTGACCGGCAATGGCGCGCCTACAAAGTGAACCTGACAGCGCAATCGACTGCGGAAGATAAATTTCAATTTTTCATAAATAACCAACACTTCACGGGCATTTCTTCGCCGGGTTTTTTTTCACTCGAGTCATCTTTTGTTTCGGACAGGTCATTTAAGCATCGGCGGAAGGGAGAAATCTGTCTATTCACGCGCGCCGTGCGGAGATTCTTGAGCGTGAGAGAGGCGAAATGAGGAAAAATTTATCAAAAGACCGGGTGAAAAGCATTTACAGTTAGGCATCGGCATGGCAATTAAAAGCCGAAGATATCTTGCAATTTTCTCCTGTGCGAGATTTGTGCATTTTCATAATGGTCGCCATTGCAGCGCCCAGAGAAAATTAATTGTGTGTGTGTGGTTCGCAATGAGTGGAAAAATAGAGACAGACTCCACAATTACGATCCTTTCATCTGATTACCATAACAATCAATCGGACAAGACAGTTTTACATCATTAATCTCTCGGCCGCTGCACATCCACTATCTTTTTATTTACATTTATACAAGAGACGACGCGGAGTCTCTTCTATCACTTTGACATCCACTCGCGCTGGGAAGAAAAATGAACATATATTCCTGCCCCGAACGCCATTCCGCCTTTTGCCCAGGAGAGGAAATTCGTGCGCAAAAGACGATTCCATCGCCGCCACTTTTGCAGCTCTCTGTCTTGCCTCATTCAGGCCCCGCTGAAAGAAAATCAGTTGGAGGCTGTAAGAAACAAACTGCGATAACCCCTGGGCATTCAATTCGTGACCTGTGTCGTACGCGATATGGAAATAAATTATTTTTACGTTGTCAAATTGAGAGGCATCGCGAGAGGCGTAATTTCATTTGCGACCATCTCTTGGCGCGCTTCTTAGACCACTTCTCACCGATGCCACCGCCATCTAGCGAGTGTATTTCCCTCAGCGGAGCAAAATACCAACTTCAAAATTATTTTTCTACCTGTCTTATTTTACGTTTCGCTTATAAGAAATTTATGTGAAGTTGTAATAGATATTAGCCAATTTAGTTTGAGGATGTGGCTTAGAATTGCCCCTTAAACCACGATTACTTTCTTTTATCTACAATTTCCAACCCAATTTTCTTCTTATCTCTATCAACGTAAGAAATACGGTGTAATTTATACGCCGCTTGCGTGGTATTTGGACAATCCTGCAGCTGTCAAATTGTGTTGGTGTTTTGTGAAGGATTTTCCTCAAGATCTCGAGCTTTTTCCACCGGTAAGATGAGTGAATTGCTAGAATTGGATCCCGATAAGCTCTTCCAGCAGCACACAGTATCAGAAATTGAGCAGGTCAGCAAAAATCTGCAGAATGAAATTGAGAAACGAAGGGAAAACTTGCGAACGATGGTTGGGTAAGTTTTGACCGGATTTCCTGGGAAAATCCTCTCTTACATGGATTTGTGGCGTTTTAGGGAAAGGTATCGGGATCTCTTGAAGGCTGCTGACACGATAAATGACATGAAGGGGACTTCGAGTTCAGTGCTGCAGCGAATTGAGGGCATTCTTGAGCTGTCCGGAAAGGTGAAGGGAAACCTGAAGACAAGCAAAGAAGTTCAGCGGAGGAACGACAAAGGCCAGAGGATTCTCGTGAGGAGTAAGTATTACGGCGTTGTGGTGCAGATTCACATCCTCACGGTGCTTCCGGAGATGATTTGGACGCACTTGCATCACGACGAGTACTTCTTGGCCGCTCAGTTGTTCGCCTTCTCGCGCCACATCAGCACGGATCTGCAGCTGAACGACAACGACAGCGTGGTGAGGCACTTTCCAGTGGCCACGCGGCAATGGACGGCGCTGAAGCCATTCCTGGAGATCATCAGGGATCATTGCTTCGCCACATTGGGCAGGGAAAGCCTTCCGGCCGGCGTGGCGTCGAAGTGCTTGGCGAGTCTCTTGCTGTTGGAGTCCAGCAATGTGGACGCTCTATTGGCCGTCTTCATAGAACTGAGGATCAAGTCCTTCCTGAACATCCTAGCTGAGGATCAGGAGACGGAGAAGCCGCGGAAGGTCAAGGATAAGATCCTGACCAGTCTTCAGTTGCTAAACGAGAGCTGTGAAGTGATGTTTGAGTGTTTTGTCAGCAAAGACGGACTGCTTATGAGGGAAATCCGTGATTTGGTGGAAAAGGAGGCGACAATATCACTGATAAAGTTCGACAATCCTGAAGTTTTAAAGGCTCTTCCGGGAATTATCACTGAATTCAAGCCTCAAGTGAGCATGAGTGAAATCAAGGCGGAATCATTTCAGAGGATGACGAATTCCTGGCTGGAGAAACTCAATTTGGCCACTAAAACTGCTCTCAAATCTTTGATAGACTTGATATCGTCTGTGAAAGTGATTCATGACATCAAGCGTCAGGCGATGGCAATGGAAAAGCCGCGAGATTGGGAAAGCATTTGCCAGAAGCTCTATCTTCCTGAGGATTTCGCTGTATACGAGTATTTCTACCAGAAGCTTCTGAATGAGAGAGTGAAGGACATCATCGAGACTTCCTGGGAAGGAACTCTCGAGGCAGTTCAGCAAGATGTGGAGAAACTCATCCAAACTCCAGAGAAATCATCGAATAGTGTGAGGAAAATGGTCTGGACAGAAGAGGCTTCGGACATTCCGCAGAGTCTGCAGCAGGCGATGAGTCCGGACCAGAAGAGTCACAAGTTGCTGATGAAGACTCGAGGATACTCGCCAGGAATCGTGGCGGTTTGCGAGAGTCTGGATAAGAGACTGGAGTTGCTCTTCAGTGACCTCAGCAACTATGTTTCCGGGGAGAGTCAGAGGCTTTCCGATGAGATCACAGACACGCTCAGGGAATATCTTGTGGAGTGCAGCACAGGAAGGATTCTAAAATTTGTGACATTCCTCAAGTCCGGCCGCTTCAAGGAGACGCAGAACAATTCCATAAATCTCGCGAAGCTTCTTCAGGCAATCGGTGAGCTTTGTCCATACTTGAAGTGCTGCTTATCGCGGAGGAATCCTCACTCTGAGGATGACGACGTGGAGAAGTGGGTGGAAATTTGCCGGAGACTTGAAGAGGAGAGTCTCTATTTCTGGAATTTGTGGCTCACGTCGTTTCTCAAAGACAACCAGCAAAGCTACGGGAAGAATTCATCTCCAGCAACAGTTCTCAGTGGAATTCTGCAGGAATTTCCCAACTGGGAAGTCATCAATCTCGAGGAGAAGAACGAGCAGGACGTTGTGCTGAAGTCTTCCATCAGAGTGCCTTCACAACCGAGTTTCTCGCTTCAGCAGAAGCTCTTCAATCTCTGTCGAGACCTCAACCAAATCGCGCCCCACACAATTCCTCGAGTGATTGTCAATCGCCTTGTTGAGAACGTCGTTCAGCATCTCTTCGAGTTCTACAACTTCCAGGCGGACACAGAATTGATCCAGACAAATCAGAACATCGCTCTGCAGTACTTCTTCGACGTGAAGTTCCTTCTGCTCGCGCTCGTGACGCGCGAGAATAAGAGTCTCACGGAGAAAGGACAATCTCTAGGGCAAACATTTAAGTCGCGCGTGGATCCGTTCGACTTTGAGATGTCCTACGATTACGTGAATGCCAATGTGAAGAAGTCCGCCCATCGCGTGCTCCATCAGCTGGGCTGCATCATTCCGAACATGGACTATCTGCTGGCTATGCTGGGCAATCGCCAGGCGAGCGCCGCGCAGGAGAAGGAGCCCAACATCCTCGCCATTTCCGGAACGGGAGCGACTGAGGCGGTTTCCTGGTTCCCCCTGCTGCCCATCATCTCGTCCACCGCAATGCCAACAACGAAGCCCTCGCCTTCGGCTCAGGCGACAGAGAAGGTGAGTTGGTATTGATTTTCAGTGGAAATGTTGCGGTGATGGGAAAGGTATTAAATCGTTTTGTCTCTGATTTAAAGGATATTCACAGCAGCGCTGAGTAAGCATGAGAAATGAATTGTAGCATGAAGAGTTTCAATTTGTATTCCATCAATATTGATTAACTCTCGCATTATCTTAACGTGAATTCGCTACTGAAACACATAAACTTGACTTTATTATTCAGATAAGTCGATTTTATTGCATTGTGACTAAAAGTATATACAAATTCTTGCAGCAGTTCTTTAACTCATTGCTATATTTCTCTTCTCACACTAAGAAAATGTAACTCAGATTAGGATGACGAAACTTCAGCGAGAAATCTTCTAGAATTCACATGGAAAGATGTTGAAAGAGGCTTGAATTAGGAGAAAACACAAGTGTTTGCTAATACAGAACTGTTTGCTTGAGCGTTTAGTATTGTATTTCAGTCAGTCGCTAATCTTGAGAATGTTATAGAGTTTCTTTTTCCGCTGTATGACGACTAACAAAACTGCATTGGACGCTTTCTGCAATTGGAAAATCTCTGTAATGTCTCTTTCACTCTATTTTCAGCACATGGGCGGTGCGGGAAAAGCAAGAAGAGCCGAAGATACACGGCAATCGTCTGTAGTCAGCACGACGCAGAATTACGCCAGCAACGTTAAGTCCGGAGCGGCAGCGTTCTTCGGCGCCATGTCGCAGGATTGGTTCAAGTCCTAAGCGTCGAAGGGTGAGTGGAGAGTCAAACGCGTGTCTTCTATCCATAGAGATTTATCTCTACTTTTATCGTATTTATTACATTATTACAATTATATTGTTCTCAAAAGTACACGTGTCCAAAAGAAGAAAAAAATATAAGTTGAGTCACATTCAAGTTAGACAGAGAGTTTATTTGTCGGCGTTATTTTTGGTTCAACTGCAACTGATTCCGAGAGTTGGATAAGTCACGATGGATTCGCCCGTTTGGATTGGAAGGGCGCGTGTTGTGGGCGGGGTTGACATCGGTGTGTGTACATTTAGCATTTTCACAGATAAGGAGAAATGAGAAATTGATTTTCTTATTTCCTCACAATCATCAAGAGTGTAGAATGTATTGCAGAGGTGCTTTTAGGGGAAGGCTTCTCCTCACTGTCACTTCTTGCCACCTGTTGAAGAGACGATGGGATGAGCGAATGCCATCAATTATGCTAATTGCGAATCAATGGGCAATAATGTTCGTACCTTTTTTGCCACCCTTGCCACCCTTTGCCTCAGCCGGCTTCGCCTCGGCCGCTTTGGGGGCCGCAGCGGCAGCGCCGCCCTTTTTCTGTCAATGAGACGAGAAGTGTTGGGGTATTAATTGAATGGATTGATCCCCGAAAAGCTGTCAATTTGCCAAATTAAATTGTGGCGCAATTAAATGTTGGGGATGTGAATCAATCGATAAATGCGCACAACACGGATTTTCAACACATGGAGGCTGCGATGCCACCGTTCCGGGCAGAGCCTTTTCCCGTGAAGTGCACAGGAAGAAAAAAGAGTAGTTGATTGAATTGACCTTTTGGCGTGTGTTGCGCAAGATGCTATTTTGATGTCTTGGAGAAGAGTTGTATCTTGTCTAATTTTATCACAGCGAGATTGTGTGGGCTTTTGCAGAGGGCATTGCCTTACCTCATCCTTGTTTCCACCGCCTTTTCCTTTTGCCATGGCGAAGTTGCGAACTTTCAGGAATTTGCAGACCACAAATTACAGAATTCTCGCGATGAGAGTGAAAGCGAGTCTCCTTTCTTGGCTTGCTGCCTGCGAATCTCACTGAAAAAACTCGGGTGAAAAGTGCTTGGCGAAGATGCTAGCAGTTCGATATCACACAATCGACTAAACACTCGGGCGGCGGAAACACAGACTCTCTCTCTTCGTGAGATGATCTTCCTCGGCGTTCGCACGCGAGCGGCGGATGTGTGAGAAAGACGAGCCTAGGACACTCACAGTGTGCGGCTGCATGTATTGGCCGGGCGTGATGGATGCGCTTCTGCCGAGAACACTGCCCTCGCGCATCTTCTCTCGCCATGGGGACGCATTCTATTTCGAGAGGAGTAGGTCGTGTGCCGAACGCCGGTGGGTTGGGGCGCGGTTGACATTGAATTCCGGGCACACTTGGGGGTGTGCAAGAGCTCAAGGACGCCATCGACGCAGGTGTGAGAGCGCGAGCTTGCGAAGCCTCCGCAGGAAGTCGAGAGATAGGAAATGCTGTAAAATGTGTCACTCTAGAAAATCAATAGTGAAGAAAATCTGAAGCAAGGGCTTCTTAGCGTGATTCCACTAACTATTAACACGTATTTATCACCGTCGAGAGATGATCGCAAAACACAGTGAGGAAAACACTCTTGTTTATTTTTGGATCATGTGTTTATGTATGTTAATACTTGAGGCTAAATTGGAGAATGTTGTGCAATCCACCTAGTCACCGGTCAAGAGAGAAAAACAAATATTGCGGCATTTTCTGGCAAATTTAGCTCTTTGGATTCTCTACACTTTCTTCTCTACAAAATTTCCCAAGAATCTCTCCTCATCAATTTGTTTGCACTGAGATAAATTTGGTGCAATATTCGCCATGGTTTCCAGCTTCCTTTTCAGTAAAGATAAAGCGTTGATTTTAGTTATTCTCAAGCCAAAAATCACGTCTTGGCTCTAGCTTTACGAGATTATCGTTTGTTATTCTTAGCGAGATGTTATATACTAGCTTGATGTCCTCGAACTTAAGCGATGTGGTTATTCGGAAGTTCATCATCATCATGGCCACAATTGTACGGACAGAAAAGAGACCGTAAATCATTCCTATGCAATTCCTGGGGCCACAAGAGAACGGCATGTACTGGAAAGGATGTCTTTTTGCCACTCTTTCGGGCAGGAAGTTGTCAGGATCGAAGAGATCAGGATTCGGCCCAAAAGCCACGGGATCTCGATTGTTTCGCATGATCGGAATCCCAATCATTGTTCCAGATGGCACGGTAAGATTCTCTGAAATGCGAGAGAATGATTAGTGAATTTTAATCCATGATTTATTCAAATGCGACATCTAATTTTCCCGTCAATAAATGTGAATTTGTCGCGAATGACTCGAACTGCATTCTGAAGTCACGCAAATATTCAATAACAGGTATTAAAGTTGATTGAGATCAAACTCACTCAATTTAATGTCTTTCGTGGTGTGTCTGCCGATGTACGGAATCACAGGATAGAGTCGTAGTGTCTCCTTGATGACCATGTCCAAGTAAGTGAGTTGCTTCAGGCTGTCATAGTCAACAGGAACGGATTTGTCCGTGAAAACCGTCTTAAGCTCATCCACAACCTTCTGCTGAACGTCCTTGTGCATGGCTAACATCAAGATTGTGTAGGAAGCCAAGTGAGTTGATGTGTCGGATCCTGTGTAGAGCATCACATCGAGCTCATCTCGAACATCCTGATAGCCAATGGTTCCTTTAGACCAAAACCTGAACAATTGATTGATTACGGTTTTGGGCTTCTGCTCAAACTCCTTGTTCTGCAGCTTGGCCAATTCTTCGCGCTTCTCATCCTCAGCATCGGCTTCGGGATCGAAGAGGTCCTTCTTCAGCTTAATGATTCTCTTGAGGAAGTCATCCGCAACGCCAAAAGCCGCCTGCTCGATCTTGTACAGATTGGACCACCTGTAGATCCACTCAATGTGATACTGAGCCTGAATCATGCGATAGGCAATCAGATCAGCGCCGGCAATCACGGCGCGCACATATTCGCGATTCTTCTCGTCGTCAATGTCAATGTCAACCTCAGTCGTTGCGGCTGTAAAAGGCATTAGCATTAGTGTGCTAAAACGAGGGCTTTAGGGGTGAAATTACACAATTGACTCACACGAGATCATGTCCACTGCACAGATGTAAAAGTGTTCAAGCAAATTAACGTCCACTCCTTCCTTCTCGGCTTTCAGCTTTTCAACCATCTTCTCAACTTTTCGATGGAAAGTCGGGATTAAAGTCTTAATCATGTTGATGCTGAAAGATGGACTTAGGATTTTGCGATGCACCTTCCAAATGTGCGCTGTTATCAAAGAATATGATTAGCATAATCAGTAAAGAGTGAAAGATAGCGAGGATCTCACCATCCGCAGCCACTAAACCGCGATCCTTCTTGAAGAATTTGTAAATATAAGGCTTCCCCATGGCATTTGGATCGGACAGCAGGATCTCCAAATCCTCGGGATTGTCAATGATGATGAAGAGTTGAAAAGGGCCAATCCACGTGTACACCGGCAATTTGACACTGTTCAGTAGTCGATCGACAGTCTCGGTGACGCCTGTGAATGAATTAGCGTTGCAGATCAGCTTAATGATCACTTAATCAACTAATCACTCTATCAACTCATGGAATTTATTTATTGATTCACTGGCAATGCTCTACACACTGCAATTTGCATAAATACTTCAGTGCATCCCATTTACACCTAGAATTGTATTTCATTTGAATACATGAAGCGAATAGCGGGAAACGCTAGAGTAAAATCGAGAGTTTTCCATTTACCGTTATCTTTGCATGACAAATTCAATAATTGCATAAAAACAACCATAGAGCATAAAGCACTTAACAAATCTTATGATGAATATCATTAATTGCACACAGTCAATCTCGCAATTGATCTAATTATTTGCTGAAGATATAATTGCATAGTTTTCGTTGAGCTTTTACGAGTGAGTTTTGAGTTTACTATGTCACGGTGTTCGTCTATCATGATGTTTTTACTCCGAATTCCACTGAGAACTCAATATTTACCTGCGCAATCTTTGCCCAAGAACGAAAATGCCGCTCCAATGAGAGGAAACTCGGGAAAGCGATCCAAATCGGCGCCAATCAGCTTCAGGAGTCTCTTCTTTCGCACTTGAATGTAGATCAGAAGTACCACAATAGACACTGCCAGGAGAACTGCAAAAACACTGACGAGAGCCATTGCGACACTGAGATTTTCCGTGAACCAACCGCACTGGTAGCCGTTCGCCAGCAGATTGATCTGATTGAGAGTGACTGCCGTGGATGCACTTACGCGATTCTATCTCTCTGCTGAGTGTGTAATTAATTGGCGAATCAAGGTGGGGATCAACTCTCAGTCCGGTAAAGGTTGCAAGCGAGCCGAGCTTTCTGGAGTCAATCCGGAATATGATCTGATAGCGTATGGAATTTCTAGAGAAGTCACGCAGTGATAACATGAACCGTAGATGTGATTCGCGTTCCCCGTAACTCAATTTTATCTATAATATTATCAACTATTCAGAACGATTGCAAGTAAATCTGTCTGCTGCATTCGTGAATGGAGGCGCCTGGTAGAAGCTTTCAAATGAAAGCTTTCACAGCAAGACCACAATTTCCTCGTAAGAATCATTACAATTCTTCTCAGAAACATCAATCACTTTGAGCGCTCGGAGCTGCACATTGCAATGACGAAGCTCCATTCATGGTTTGGGGGAGGGACAAAAGACTAATTTACTGACAAATTGCAGTGATTTATTGTCTCACACTCAACCCGAGGAGCTTCACGTTTTCCGCCAAAACTCATTACGCGGCGTGAGACTGACGAGATTCTCATTAGTAATCCGCAGAGTGATGTTGTAAACGACTTTGATGTCCTCAAACCGTATTCGAGTGCTTATTTTGAAGTTCATCATCATCATTGCCACAATTGTGCGGACAGAAAAGAGGGCATAAGTCATGCCTATGCAATTCCTGGGACCACAAGAGAACGGCATGTACTGGAAAGGATGTCTCTTGGCCACTCTCTCCGGCAGAAAGTTGTCAGGATCGAAGAGTTCGGGGTTCGGCCCAAAAGCCACGGGATTTCTGTGCATCCGAATGAAGGGAACTCCTATCATCGTTCCGGCAGGAACAGTGAAGTTCTCTGAAAGTAGAATAGATGATTGTTTCACAGCATATTTAAAATTTATCAACAATTTACAACTTACTGAGCTTTACATCTTCCTTGACTTCACGCGCAACGTAAGGAATAACTGGATAGAGTCGAAGAGTCTCCTTGATGACCATCTCAAGATAAGTGAGTTGCTTCACACTGTCATAATCGAAAGGCACGGATTCGTCCACGAAAACACTTTGCAGTTCTTCCACGACTTTTTGCTGGATTTCAGGATGAATTGCCAGCATGAGAAGTGTGTAGGAAGACAAGTGAGTTGATGTGTCAGCTCCGGTGTACAACATAACTTCAAGTTCATCGCGCACATCCTTAAAGTCCAGCTGTCCTCGAGTCCAGTAGCGAAAGAGTTGGTTAATGATTATCTTGGGCTTCGTCTCAATCTCTTCATTGTTGAGCCTTGCCAATTCCTCTCTTCGCTCTTCTTCAGCATCTGCTGCTTCATCAAACATCGTCCTTTTAAGTTTGATAATGCCATCTAGGAATTTATTCACCGCCACCACAGCTTTCTTCTCCACTTTGTACAGATTCGAGAGTCTGTAGATCCACTCAATGTGATAGGGAACAGTGATAATGCGCGTGGCAATCAAATCAGCACCGGCAATTACAGCTTTGAGATATTCGCGGTTCTTCCCATCCTGTAGGTCAATATCCACTCCAGTCGCGGACGCTGGAAAACACAATGATTGTGAGACAAAAATTAGAGATTCACCAAGTATTATTACTTGATATCATGTCCAAAGTGCACATGTACAGATAGTCCAGCAGATTAACGTCAACTCCTTCCTCGAGTTCCTTGATTTTGCTGATCATTTTGTTGATTTTGGTCGGAAACATCGGTATGAGGTGCTTCATGACGTTTATTGAGAATGACGGGTTGAGAATCTTCCTGTGCGTCTTCCAGATATGAGCTGAAAAACATATAATTTAGAGAAACTTCCCATGGAAATGCACATTAATTTCTAATACTAACGTTGAGATGTGATTAATCCTCGGTCGTTCTTGAAGAACTTATAAATGTAGGGCTTGTAAAGGGCTGATTGATCCGAAAGAAGGGTTTCGAGGTCCTGAAATATTAATTTTTGCTGTTAATTGTAGAAAATATGATTCAGAATATCCAACTTTACCTCAGGGTCATCTATCACCATTATAAGTTTGAGAGGTCCAACCCAAGTGTATGCCGGCAAATTAACGTTCTTCAGCAAGTGGTCAATTGTAGCGGTTATTCCTGTGAACACGGATTCAGCGTAAAGTGACGAGATTATAAGAATTCAATTAATAACGTACAATTTTATGCGCCTATTCAACTTGTAAAATCACCTGTTATTAGATCAAATTTACATATTATCATTCATGAGGGTGAATTAATTATCTCATCCTCACATGAGTGCTTCAATGCTCTAAAACATATAACATGACGACAAGATTTATTGTCTTAGAAAGCTGGTTTACGATGTTTCTTAGAGATTCAATTAGCTTATCAATGAATCACTTTTGCCATGATTTATGTTACCTGCAACGTCCTTCCCGGCAAAAGAGTGAACTCCACCGATTATTGGCCACTGGGGAAAATGATCGAGATGTCCAATCATCTTCAGAATTCGTCTCTTCTTCACATGCACATAAACAGTGGCCGCTAGGATGGTTAATCCCATTAGAATAAGAGCGACACCCATAATTTCACTAAAAAAAAATGCTTCACCTCAAGAATTTGATACTGTATAACTTGTAAGGCAGATCAACTAACTCATACTTGAACTGAGTATTGACTGAGCGATCGTCTTGAGCGCTGAGCTCAAAGCTCCCTCCCTTGACTCTCTGGCGCTTCCTGGTGGGATAATGGCTGCGATGTGTGATCTTCTCACACCGCTACCTAGTATTTTCCATAAATGTCTCACCTTACTCGGGAAATCGAGTAATTGCAGGCGAATTAACGTGACAGTGGCAGAGAATGAATATTTAAATTATGTGGCTTGTGGCTTATGATCTCCCACAAGGTGACGAGAATTAATCATTCTGAAATGCAGACTGAAATTGTCGTTATCACCCTTCGCGATGTTTCTGGTTCATTGTCAAGTTGGGGAAAATGCGTGCAAGTTCAAATGGTTAAGCATTGAATGTCATTTGAGATTATGCATGTGAGATTATGCGAAATCTTTGGATCTCAATTTGTTAATTCGACAGTGATGTCATTGTGGTTAATTACATACAGAGAGAATGCGGAGATTATCAGTGAAGAATCCGCGCAACAATTAATCATATGCACAAGGTGTCCCTCATTTCGTGCTGAAGAATGCGCGTTGGATGTGAACTGGGAAGCGGCAAAGTGTATCAATTATTGAACTCTCTCAATAGATCAGTGCCAATTAATGATGGAGAGAGATCGCCTGAGAAGGCAATTAATTGAGAGACAATGCCACGATTAAACAGCAGTGCGGCACACATGGGAAAAGAGGAGGTGATTCGAGGCGATCGCGATCGTCTAGCATGAGAATTCTATGATCAGTGTTGTGCGCATAGCATTTCAGATAAGTGGCTTGGAAGAGAGTCTCGAAATGGGATTTTTCAGTGTTTTCCTGACACTTTCAGCCACTTGTTTGGTGGTTTTCTTGTTGTATGTGTTTTTGGAGAAGAGAAGATTAAACAAACTTGTGGGACACTTGAATAAATTCCCTGAGCATCCATTTATTGGTGGAATTATGGCTTTTATTGGGAAAGATCCTGAGGAAATTACAAAATATGCAGTAAAACTCCTTGAGGAAGTCGAACTCCCAGCAACAGTCTTTGTAGGACCTCTCAAAATGATCGTTTTCATTGATGATCCTGAGGTGAATATCTTTTATTATCTTGATATTTTTCATAAATTAATGATCGTATATTTTATTATTGTTTCAAGGACTTGGAAATCCTTCTGTCGGACCCAAACGCCATGGCAAAACCGTACATGTACAAGTTTTTCAAAAACGATCGAGGACTTGTGGCCGCTCCTGTTAACATTTGGAGGCTCCATCGAAAGATATTGAGTCCATCCTTTGGCTTAAATGTTATTAAGACGCTGATCCCAATCTTTAACCAGAAAGTCCAAGTAATGGTCAGCAATTTAGCTAAACAAGTGGAAGGAGCGAATATTAACATTCTAGAGCACATGTACTCTTGTGTTTTGGATCTCATAACAAGTGAGTTCGATTAAGAATGCTATTCAAGGAATTAGCTAACAGGTTTCTTTGTCAGCTACTCTCACTGACGTGGATATTGACGTGCAGGAGGGGAAAAACCAAGACTACTTGGAAGCCGTTAAGACCGCCTCGTCGGTTGTGGCAACTCGTGTCGCTAAGACAATTTATCACATTGATTGGATATTCAATTGGTCTGAAATGTATAGAATTCAGATGAAATCTCTTGCCAAAATTCATAACTTCTTCGATCGGATAATTAAGATGAAGAGGGAAATGTTCGATGAAGTTGAGGATGCCGAAGAGGAGCGGCGAGAAGAACAGGCTTTGCTGAATAATGAGGAAATTGAGCAGAAGCCCAAGATTGTCATCAATCAACTCTTCAGATATTGGGTGAAGGGACAGATTGGATTCCGAGATGTCAGGGGTGAATTGGATGTTATGCTGTACTCAGCTTCAGACACAACAACCAATCTGGCTTCCTACACGCTTCTGATGCTGGCAATGCATCCTGAAGTGCAGGCGAAGGCAATTGCAGAGCTTAAAGAAGTGTTTGTGAATGATAACGTCTCAATTGATTACAACAGTGTCAAGCAACTACAATATTTAGACATGGTCATCAAAGAAACGTTGAGATTATATCCAGTAATACCCTATATTGGACGAGAAGTGTCTCAGGATGTTAAGCTGAGTAAGTGTCTTCTCTCCAATTAACATTTCTGCTCTTCCTTACGCGAATGTGAATCACTTCATAGAGTGTTTCTGGTGTTTACAGAAAACTTAACCGTTCCTGCTGGAACTGCTGTAGGAATACCGATTTTGTGGATCAATCGGAATCCCAAAACTTGGGGTCCAAAAGCTCATCTCTTCAATCCTGACAATTTCCTCCCTGAGAAGGTCGCCAAGAGACATCCTTATCAGTATCTCGCCTTCTCCGGAGGTCCTAGAAATTGCATAGGCATGACTTACGGTCTAATTGCTGCTCGGACGATTGTCGCCTGTGTGTTGATGAACTTCAGACTCAGCACAACCCTCAAGTTCGACGACATCCGAATGGTCTTCAACATAACTCTCCGAATAATAAATGAGAACTTTATTCAACTCGAGCGTCGAACAGATTTCTTTAGCCACTAAATGGAGTCGATAAAAGCAATAAACAGTTTATTTATTGCACAATTAATAATGCAATTTTATTACCATTTCACTACAAGACCTTACAAATTGAGATGAGAGAGTATAAAAAAGACTTAAACGATTGCACAACATTTTCCTATATTGCACGACATATGAATATCAATAGCATTTCAAGCCACAAAATTGCTCTAATTATGATTTTATAGCTCTTAAATCTAAACAATTATAACTTGTCTCCCACGCTTTTCATATCTCTCTTCCTCCACTTTTACCTTCTCTTTCTCTCGATACAAATTTCCAACCCATCAGATAACATGACGCTAACGTGTTTATTGTGTGGAATAAGAGGTACAATATATAAGTAAATTTTCTTTCTCAATGGCGAATAAGATGATTATCACAATAGCAGGAATGATACACTGTTGAATTTTTGCCCTTTCTTCGCCTCAAATTTTCTCTAATTGCAGCAAAAATGCCGAAAAGTATTGCTCAAGTTGTGAATAAATACAAAGGGCAACCGGAGATGTTGGAAGATGAGGTGTTACAAAATAGTGAGCATAATTAGTGAGTGCCTCGTAGAATAGTGCAATCCGGTCCTCTTCTGCCGACTTCTGTCCACAGACAGTCTCCAGTGTGAAGCTGACGGACGAAATCAATTGGGTGAATATTTTTGCACGAAAAATATATTCAATTGATCTGAAGATGGGCTAAATTGGCTGACCCTCGCGCTGCGGCACTATTTCTACGAGAGTGGATGATAGATAGAGTCCTCAACCGCCCGGGGTTTTCTTTGATCCCAACCCAACACCATGCATTTGCCTAACTTATAGCCTACACGTCTACCCTAGAGCTAGTCAGAAGGTACTGCAATTCTTCGGTTTCGGCGTCAAATCCTATGGCAAGTAGCCAAGGGAGTCCTCGAGCGAGGCGCTGACAGGTCTGGGACTGACCGGCTGATAGTAGCCCTCGGACTTAGTCGTTCTCTTGGACAGTTTGTCGCGAGCTTCCTTCTTCGGGATGCCTTCTGACTTGCTTGTAAAATCATTCTTAGCCCTAGCGCACCTGCCTCTGCGCTCCTTCTGGCCTTGCTGACCCTGCGCCAGGCTCGAGATGTCCGTCGTCTGGCTAAGCTTCACGTCAGCAAACACCGCGGCCATCTCGACGCTCTTCTTCACGCTGAGCGCCTCCTGAGCGCGCTGCTCCGTATCGGCACTGTCTCCCGATGCTCCACCGACCGTGAACAATTCATAGTCCAGCGCCAGGTTGTCCCTGCGATTCCTGCACTTCTGCAGCGGCCTGCTATTCACGCGCCGGCAGTAACACTTGCTGGCGCTCACGCAGCTGTCCGTGTCACACCAGGTCGTGTGCGACTCCGCGCCCTCACCCATCGAGCAGTAGCACTTATCTTCCGTACGACAGCTCATCAGAGACTCTCGATTGCCAGGCTTACTGGCATTGCAGGCTAGCTTGGCGCTGACCTCGTGATCGGCTCCCAAACTGCAGTAGCAGCGATCAGCCGATGTGCAAGTGCAGGCCTCGGAATCGTAGCTGCACTCAGAGCATGACACATACCTGAACAAGAGCATTTTTACAGAAGATTATTAATAAAAATTGCATATATTTGGCTCAAAATAGAGCAGTTTAGCTCTTGAAAGAGCTAAAAATCTAAGGATTCTTTGTGAGATGTAAACTTTGATACTTACCCGCTGGAACTGTTCCTGTTCTGGGCGTTCATTGTGTGCTCATTACGAGTCTCCGACACGTCTGAGCCACTAGTTCCAGCTCTGATGCGTTGCTCATTCTTCAGGTGATTCTCAATCGCCTTAGAAGGCTCAGGCAGCTGAGGCTGGGACACCTGAGCTTTGGCCTTGCTGGCTTTTGACTTTCCGCTGCGAAATTTCCCGAAGCGAAAGACCTTCTTGAGCCCTTTCGCCCCCACGAGCATCTTCTTTCGTTGGTTCTAGCGAAGAAGAGAAATACCAGAGGTTAATGAGATGCAAGATCATTAGGCAAATGTATGTGGAATAATTTATTAGTCAATTGTGTATCTCGTTAAGCCGCATTGAATAATCATGTTGCAGCGACATTAAATTGAGAGAAGTGTTTTATTCATGAATTACATAAAATTTGCCAAATGCAAAGTGTAATGTGATATGCGACGCGTGATTATCGAGAGTTACCTGGATGTTGCTATTCCGCCTCCTCAGCTTCTTCTTCTTCTGCCTCCTCATGATGCTCTTGGAGCGCTGATACAGCTCATCCTTGGTGAGTGTGACAGCCAGCTTGAGCAGGAACTCCTTGTAGATGGGCTTCAGATCGTTGAAGGACATCCCGTCTGAGTTGATTATGGCATTGAGAATTTCATCCAGCGAATGCAGATTCTCCTGCAGGCGGAACTCGTTGAAGAGCTCGCTGAAGCCCAGGGGCGACCTGAAGATGGGATTTACTCTATTCGACTGTTTTACACTGTTCCAACCGCGAAAAATCTTACCCTCCACCGCCGCCGAGCTTCCCAGCGTGTCGTCTGGTGGCTCGCGACTTGTAGCGCGTCAGGCCGCTGGTGTTCAGGAAGCTTCCCGATCGGGGAATGGCGACGCGTGTAAGGATGTCTCCGCCGGACGCATCGTGGCTGGGCGGCTCTGGCATGGCAGCGCTATTCCGGGCCTTGCTCTGCTCATTCAAGTACGACATTGACGAGTTGTACATTTCACCAGGTTTTTCTGTGGAAGCACAGGCAGAGAGATCAGCAGAAGAAGTGGGGAAAGGCGTGCGTGGGCAGATACCTTTAGAAAGTGGAATCGGCGGCGCCCTCTTGGTCTTGCTCGACTTCTTCTTCCTCTCCTCCGTGGACGTTTCCGTCTCGATAGCCTCTCGGATGGCGTCACTCTCACCGCTCAGTGAACTCGTGGCACTCCTCTTCTTGCGTGGCGGGCGCGCCGGCGGCGGGATTGATCTGTGCGACACGGACTTCTGAGCAATACTCGAGCCCAGCTTGTTCGTCACGGAGCTGCTGGCGATGCTCATGCAACTCACGCCGTTCCTGTTCTTCGGCCGCTTCTTCTCATTGGGTCCACTACCCATGTGCGCCATTAGGCTCTGATACAGTGTCGCAGCGATCACGATCGCGTCCTCCGGCGACTGGCAGACAAATGCGTGGCACTCCAGCTGCTTCGGCATGCCGGCCGAACGCATCACCACCGCGAAGATCGGTGCGTGGAGGCTGGAAGACAAACGCCTCTTGTCCGAAGCGCTCAGCGGCTGGAACAGCGAGCTCTTGTCGATGTTCTCAGGATCCGTGATCAGAGGCAGAAAGGCCGCTCCGCCTTCCGACGCTGACACCACGAACTTCACCGCTGACCACACGGCGATGTTATGAAAAGGCGTCAGGAGCGGCTCACGGCCGTTCGTGAGCCTCACGCGCAGACCTTTAGTGCAAATGTCCAAGTTTCCTGCATTCTGATTCTGCAACAGGAAGGCAATTGAGCATTAATTCTCAGAGATTGCAAACTTCCAGCAATCTTCCGGAAAGATGAAGAGAATTAGTATTTTGACAATATCAATTTTTTCACACAATTTCTGCGTGTAAAAAATAGCAAAAGGAATCGCTAAAGCATTAACTGAAGAAAATACTCTTAAGAATGGCATATGAACATGTGCAACAGAGAACAACAAGCTTAAAGATTCAGTGTTAAAAAACAGTCTTTACTGTTTATGCATAAGAATTTCACGGAAGATATTCAGTGCGAACAGAAAATATGATAAAATTCAAATAAGCAATAAATATGAAAAATTTATGACCGCCCTAGAAACCCTCGGTCTTTAGTGGGAGTTGATTAAAATGGACTTGTTTTTCTTCAAAATCCTCCGAGCATGAAAATCTCGGCAAAAATCGTTTCTTATTTTCATTTGAAATTTCTAGTTATTTGAAATTTTAAAGTGATCTGTTGATGTCCAACCAGGTGAAGGTTTGTTATTTCTTCAATATCTGTCGTATATTTTACCATCTTTTTAATGCAATTCAAATTGCAAAAAAACACACACCTTTCGAGTGAAATTTATTAGGCATAATGAATTTATTATTCGGTGTTTTGAGAGCACTAAAAATCCTAATCTTTTTGAGATCAAATCCAATATAACCGCAATGCGATTGAGCTGCAAAAATGCTGATGCTTTTTCTCGTAATGATTAGAGATTTCTAATTCGCAAGCATATGTGCGAGTATGTTCTCTTTATGACGCTTTTTATGTACTACGCGAAGTAAGGCGATAGCGTTTAATTATGTGACGATCGAGACAAGCGCACTGACATTGCGCGAGTGTGCGTGGCAAAAGCTGCTGGCTAAGTTCAAGATCAGTAACTGGGTCACAGAAACAAATCCAAGAATTCAATTTTACGTGCAGCGATGGCTGAGGAATGCAGAGGGAAAGCTGGGCAGGAGGATACTCACTCCGTGTCCTGCGCCGCTGAGGTAGAGCTGTCGCAGAGGCTGCTGCAGGCCTTGCAGGCTCGTGACCTTGTTGGGCAGCGGCAGGGCGCCCAGGCACCTCACGGCGAAGTGGCAGGACGAGGCGTCCTTGGCCACGTCCGTGAACATCCGCTCAATCTGCGCCTGGACACTGTTGCCGATCCTCTTGCTCTCGCGATGTTCACGATTTCTCCCGGAACTGCGAACGGATCCGCGATAGGAAGACCCGTGAACGGATCCCTTGCGATCTCTCACCGACGCACGATCATCGAAGCGATGACTGATGATCGATCTGCAAGACAAGCCCACAATTTGAACGAAGCCCTCACACTTTTCCCTATAAACTATAAACTATAAACACACACCGTGCCTGCTTCTTCGCTTTCGACCCAAAAAACTTGAAAATTGATTTACTATCGAATATATTTGAATATGTCATTTCGAATCGATATTATATTTCACCAAAAAGATCACAGTATTCACAGATATTTTTCACGCGGAGGCTTCTTTTGTGAATATCGCGCACTAACGGAGGAAATATACATCACGATCGCCTCGATATTTCCCACTGAACTGATCTTCTTCATTCACCGCCAGTCGACCGATCGTAACTGTTTTCCCTTGGTCATCTTCTCTCATAGTTTTCCTCAAGCAGCCAGCATTGCTCTGCAAGTTGCAAGTCGCGGTGGGCAGGTTTGGCGAGTTGGTTCGCCAGCAACTTTGTGGGGCAAATATAATGTTTTTTCTCTCCACTCCACATTGGCTCTACTTTGCGCTCCGCGCCTTGTGCGCGAAGAGGGAAATAAATCGTGTGGGACTCTTTATCTCAAACGATCCGCTAGTGACATAAATGTTCTATTTTGTGCACGATCGCCCATTGCAAAGATATGGTAATGAAGTTGCATTTGGAATATTATAGGCAAAACAACTCACCGCGTATCGTCAAACATGAGGTCAATTTTTTGCTTGTAGATGGAATTTCTGCTGATGCTCGACATTGTGTCACAATGATCGCCGAGCAGACGAAATCCCGACGATGAACTCGATCCTCTTCTTGCACGACTCATCTTGGACAGTGTATCCACTTTGCATGTGACCATTTTCCGTTTCACTTCTCACGCTCACCGAAAAGATCCATAAAAAGAACACATCACTGGACAATATTGCACATTGAATTGCTACTTGGAATGAAAACACCGAGAGCAGAAGAATGTTCTTTCACTTTGGAGAATCGAATTCAGATTGAAATCCAACACTTTCAATTTATTTTGATCGTTGAAGCAAATTCAATTCACGTGGAATTAACACCTCGCCAATACACCTCAATGTTCTCAGCACCGTTCATTCTTTGCTGGGTGATTAATAACGGTTTGCGCACTTTTCCACACAGACCCAATCACACGAATTGCAATTTGTCTTGTGATCATCTCTATCTTCCTGACTCGTGACCCATTTCCGCCTCTCCGCATCTGCGGCCAGCAGAATCTGCAACGAGGGAAGAACACATTGATTAGAAGTTCAATTTCTCTTCGCTCAATCAATTCGGTTAAGCTTTTTTCTCTCTTTGCCTAATGGACTAATCAAAAATTGGAAATTTTTACAGTTTCCCTCACAGTTACCAGAGTCTCACTTGCACGCGTACTTTTGGCACCACGTGCGCCCCAAAGATGCTCCTAATCTGACCACGAGATGAAAATGAGGAGCATATTTGAATTTCTCATTCTTCATATCCCAGAAACGCACTCCAATTACATTGTGAACACCATCGAATTTCATGTGTGCGTATTTCGCCAGGTGAAATTTGTGTACTGGGAAAATTGAAATTGTCCAATACATAAACATAAGCCAATTTCTTCAGGTTACTAGGTGGATGGCTTCGCAGAGAAACACCGGAAGCCAATTGCAGTGCCAAGAGTGGGGCAAATTGTTCTTGCCACTCGTATTGACTATGAAGCAATCTTTCACGGAAATTTTCAAATAATTTCATGAATTCATAAAATAATAATTTTCTGGGCAATTTGGTCAGGCAATTACTTTGCAGTGCTCTTTCGTGTGACCAAAGCTCTCACACATGCCACATTATTTTCCGATTTCTTCATGAAAGAATATTTCATTGTGATTTCGAGTGAAAATGTCTCTTACGTTAAGAGAAAGAAATAACTCTGCTGATCTTCAATCATATCTCTTTTTAATATTTAAGTTTAAAGAATTCGTTAATCTAAGTTGAACCCCAAATGTCTGCTACGCAAAATCTCATCTCGCTTATCCAGTTTTATCTTTTATAAGACTAATTATTAAAATGTCATAAAGAGTGGGTCCACTTAAGAGGTTTCCCAAAGAACTTGTCGATCTCATAACGAGCTTCTGCGAGCTGAGGACAGCTAATAAATGCAGAAAAGTGTGCTACTTCAAAACCTCGCCTTCGCGCAATGTCCGGTTCTTTGACATGCAAACACATCAATATAAATATTATGCTAAGTATCTCTGCATGAGTTTGAAGTGCCTCTCGCGATGGGAAAGACTCACTCACCACACTTTAACACTTAAGCTTTTGATCTGGCACTTAATCTCATCGCTATTCATCTGGATTATTATTCACTGTGTAATAAGAATTTCACACCTTTGAATAATTTCATCAAGTGTATTTCACGATGCGATATTTCAGAATATTAGTGAAACTCTTTCAGTAAATTTGCAAATGATCTTTCCCACCTATTGCAAATTAATTTGAGGATTTTATTGCACTGTGATTTTTAATGGGATCGAAGAAGCGACGCTCAATTTCATCTAATACGTGATGGTATGGAATAAATTTCTTTAACGGTTACTCGGATTAAATGAATTTCCTCATCCAAATGTAATTGCAAAATAATGTGTTTCATCTAAACCGCAACACGGGAATTGATCGCTTTTTGGTTTATCAGTTTATTGTGCATTTTCTGCCATTTTTCCTCCTGGTGAAAGTTCAAGAGCAAATGTCTCTGCAATGGAAGCTGAGTGCTCGAATGCAGGTCAGCCATTTGACTGCGCTGAGAACATTTCAGGGCAATTGCACTCTTTATCGATTAATCGTTAACCATATTTCTCAAGGAAATCGCACTGTCTCACGGAGACTCGCTTCCGCGCACTCAAAAAATCACGCGCTTCCAGTAATTTCACGAATTTTACGGCAATGTAAATTGGGATACCAATTGTTGAGTGTGCACACGCACTGAGGAACGCACATATAAATTTTTGTGAGGCGCCTCTTCTTCTACTAATTACTCTTTATTATGTCAGTAGGGAAATGGCTGAAGAGAAGAAGAAAAAAAAACTTTCGGAAGGCTGCAATTATTTTAATTAAATCCTCATAATTTTAAAAACACACAAATGCAACTAAATTGTTGGAGTGTTGGCGGAGAAAAAGTGCGCGCACTGGAAGAAGCTCACGAGCATTTAAACATACTTTGCCCGCGGCTGCGGAGGAAAATGAGCATCGCAAGGGAAAAAAGACAACAGATGGTGGCTGAATATTGTGAGCATAACTATCAATGACTTATGAATGGAAAACTATTATTTCATCGCGTCTGAAGAGGATAAACACTGCGAGTATGTGTTCCGTGTGAAATCAGAACAGACAATCAATATGTCTTCTCCCCTTCGTAATCTCTAAATAATCATGAGAATTGAAAATTATTTCACTCCAGCGCCTCAATTGAATGCAACAAAGAGACTGTGGATGATTACTTTGACGCCTTTTTAACTCTTAAGACCTTTTTCTTGCCTAATATGATCGATTGTGTCGTTTTTTTCGGAGCACACAAAAACACCACAGCAATTTACCAACAATAAATATTATTGCGAAAATTCAATTTTCAACCAATTCTCACCATTTTTCACTCTTCATTGATGCAATCAAGTGTATTTCGTGCGGATGGAAATTAATCATCTGCTGAAGTGTCGATCGGCCAAGTTTTAATGGAAGGAAAGTAACTGATAAAATGTATCATCCAAAAAATTTCACTTTTTACCAACTGGCAAGTCCAGTAAATACTTTCTTTGGGCCGATTTAACATATCACAAAAAGACTGGCCGCTGTTTTGAGCGATTTTCCACGGTCTGCAGAGTGAAACTTGTGTGGTTCATTAGTCAGTGGCGCTGCTCAACTTGAGATTTGTGATGTTCAACAATGAAAATGCCACAGAATAGCGTCTTTGTGAAATCATTCATCAAGGCAAATTTACCGTACATTATTGGGAAAATTTGAAATGCAAGTTCGCGCGGATTCTTGCGCAGCGCCAAAATTGCATGCGAGAGAAAGGAAAAGTCTTTGAATTTCACCCCCCATTTTTCAGCAATTCTTCATGAATAATTCACCATTTGAATTGCAGAGAGACTCAATGTTTGCCAACTGTGAAAAATCGCGCCATTGCAATCGAGACGATGAAACGCATCAAACAAAGTGTACAAAGTTGCGGAGGAAATTGAGTTCTTGCGCATGTAAATTGCCATGGATGAAGATTTATGTGTCCAGTGAGCCTCTCACCGAGGAAATGAGGACAATTCTCTTCCTGCAATTCTTGAACTCTTGTCTCATCGGTATTTATTTTGTGCAGTTAATTGGCCGAACCCTGGATTAGAACCTGCTTTGCAATATCAGGAAAACGGTATGTTCGCGTCGCCTATAACAGTGAACCATTTTTATCTCTGCCTTCTATTCATTTACCTATATTTATTCCTCGACTGAGAATTCCTTAAAGAAGTCTTCTTGCGCGTGCTCTGTCGCTGCGAGATAGCAATAAATTGCCCACATTTTATACCGTTGATATGCAATAAAGATTCCCGCATCACTTCTCGCGACTCCGGAGGCTGGTTTTTAACCCAGCCAATAACGTGCGTTTAATTGACGATTTGTGCCAATGATGCCAGTGTCTCTGCGTGACAAAAGAGATGGCTTTTCTCTGCTTCATATCTGATAAATTGTCTTTTTAGTGCGAATATTCAAGAGATCTGCGAAATAAGTTCTTTCTTGACAGAATTCTGCACTGATTGGAAAGCTCTCAGGTTTTTTTGTTGAAGTTGTGTTTTTAATTATTCCATTAGCTTCAGTCACGAACTTCAGAATAATTATTTAAACGATTTAAGCCAATTTCGTGAAGCACATAAAATAGACTATTTGCACAATTAAATACTCCAAAACTCTGCATTGTCGTCAATTGACAATAACAGCAAAATTCTTGCTTAGGAACAGTAACCGTTTCTGTCACGATTTTTTAAGTATAAATATAATTGTGTTCTCGAATGATTGATAAACAGTTTTTGAATTTCTGCATTGAAGTACAAAGCAAAAAAATGAACCCAGTTTTCGAGAAAAGTGTCTTTGTTTGGATTTTATTCCTGGTTTCGCTGTTTATCAGAGAAGGTATAATTATAGTCTTAAAAACATAGACAATGCAAGAATTATATATTTGTGATCATTTCAATCACTTTGCAGGCTTGGGATGTACTAATTTTCTGGGTATACCAACAAGTTTTCCAGATGAAAACGGAAAATGTCCAGGCGATTGTAAGTATACGAATATGAGTTTGAAAGATTAACCTAAAAATTCGAGGTTTAAATTTTCATCTGTGGAGTTTACTAACAATTAGATAGAATTCTTGATAGAAATTCATTCATGAATACAGAATTAATTCAAACGATACATTTTATATTAATTTATCAACCGTTTTCTTAAAAAAGTCGGTGAAAAATGCATTTGTTTGTAGAAAAAGTCAGTATCTTAATGTATCCTTTTTTTATTATTACAGATGATAAGTAAAAAACTAACTCCGATGATGTTTCCAGTCCCAGAAGAGAACCAAAACACCCAAGTCTTACTATCGTCATAATCTCCTTGATTCTCGATTGCAGAGATAATTTTAAACCAATGGCTTGGATTTATATTTATTTTTTACGTTGAGGTTCTAATAAATTGAAATGGGGGTTTCTAAAGGATTACAACAAGCTTTTAAATGTTTCTATTCTTTTTCGAAACCCAAATCAATTGGCTATTTAGACTTTTTCCAACTTCTTTATTAAGAGCATTCTGACGAACTTACCGGATCAAATATTTTAAACTCAGCCTACGAAAAGTAGTTCCAATGCATTCTTAACACCTAAAGTTTATGAATCACACATGAAGACTGATTATTTTGTGAGTCAAGAACCGAAAACAGCACTCGAGGATTAGCAAATGAAATGGACTCGAATTAAAGTTGAATCTCATTTCATCCAATCTTGCGCAAATTGTTCAACTATAACGTTGATTTTCGTTTAATTATTACATTATGAGAACTTTCTTTTCTGCACATTTTACGCCTCAATCCAATGCTACTGTGCGCCGTCTGCAATTACAATGATCACTCACTTTTTGCGCCCATGACACTTGCACACAGGATTTTGCACGCTCGCTTCAGATGAGCTGAGCAAATTTAATTTTTCGAGCAATTTCGCCTTTTCTCTTCAAATTGTCGGCATATCAGATGCGCGGTTTCTCGCAATGGTATTTCGCTCATTTGCCTTTACCTTCTTTGGATCGTCTGCAGTTCAGCTATTTAGGAGTTTCCCGCGAGAACTTTTCTTGTATTGCAGCCAGCGAAAAAAAGGTGTGATGCAAGAACAATTTCACTGAATACACTCCTCACGATATATCCTGGGCACATCAATATTCACGAGTGTCGGATTGAATGCTGAATACAATTGCACTGCTTGGTTTTGTGGTACATCGCGTGCCAGTGGTGAATAAACTACACTGAAAACTGTTTTATTTTTTTTTTTTGAACTTCTTGGAGAGTGAAATACTTGCAACACTTCTTCTGCTTTGCACCCAGGCAACCGTCACGACATGAGAGCAAACGCCGACTGAATGGTGGCGACCCAAGTGGCGCTCCGGCTGGCCGTTCAGCGGCCAAGAATTATGCTCAGCACTCTTCCAGAAACACGAGAGACGCACACACTGGAAAGAATCAATAATGCGCGCGATTGCTCTGAATCAACAGTTAGACGGAGGACAAGCTGCTCTTGCCGATCAGTCTGAAATTTATTCAATCCCAAAAGGTTGCGGATTCACAGCTTCCCATGACTGTGCAGAGACTTTACGGCCGCCACGTGAATTTTGCTCTCCAATTTATCTGGAATTAAAGCAAAGCTCAGAAGGAATGCGCGATAAGCTTTTGATAGAAAACTCACAGATTTTGTGCTTGCCGCTCATTGGGAAGAACACTGGCAATTCCACGGCATTTGAGCAAATGAAGACAAAAGGACTCTCAGATTCGCCACCGGGAAATTCCACCATGTAATCCTCTTGTGAGACGCAATTCTGCATTGTTACGTGCCCAAGAAGACATCCTGACGGATATTGACTCGGAAATTTCAAGTTCTTATCATTATAGTAGCGTCTATAGAACTCCTCAACCTCTTTAACGTCTTCCGGATTCACCGGCTTGGCGGTTGAGGCGATCCATAGGCGTCCACGATGGGAAGAGTACCAAGTTCTGCCCTCGTGCTTCTTAATTCCATTCACCAACAGCGAAGCCCATGGTTGATGCATGGACAAACACAGCCCCTGATCCGACAGTTCAAGCATCGCTTTGTCTTGAATCCTGCTGCTAACAAACTTCGTCTGATCAGGCTCTGTGGCAAGTTCTGGAAAAGCTTCATCAATCTTCAGCGAATTCAAGTTAATTTCCCTCAGAGTTTTCCCGTGAAACCTGCTGTCTTCGATGCTCTGCATATTCTTGAATGCATCGTAATCCACATTCTCATCATCGTCCAAGATTTGACGTCCTGAGAAGTCAAATTTGTACTTGTGAGACAAGCGATTGGCGTGCTTCTTCTCCCTCAGTCCGTCCTCGAGCTGCTTCAGCTTCTCTCTCTCCTTGTCCGACAGCCACACAGAGTTGGCTTTGAAGTAGTCAGATTCGTCGTCAATCACAGTTGTTCTCTTCTCACTCTGCCTGTCGTATCCCAAGAGTCTATTCCTCTGCGCAATGGCATCTTCCTTGTCCCTTGACACCTTCGGCTTGGCGCCCTTCGAGCTCGTTTCCTGTTTCTCACAGCTTCCATAATCGACATCCTCCATGTGCTTCACCGCACTTCCACAGAACAAACACGGCCCGACGCCCTCCTGCTCGCACACAATCCTGCCGCAATTGAGGCAGTTGTTGATCAGACTGTGCTTGGATGCCTGGCAATTGCACAAGTGACGCCCTTTCAGCATGATCTCACTGATATTCCCACCGGCAGTGTAGAGATTGGTGAACTTGCTTTTCTTCTTCGGCTTCTCCACTTTGCTCTCCTTCTGATTTTGAATCCCAGGAGCAGCTGTCACTCTTCCGGAAGCGCCCTTCTTCTTGCCATCCTTGGACTTTTGCTCTGAAATTGGAAATTGAATGTAATGTCAAGACTTTCTCTAGGAAGTATTCTCTCTTACTGTATCTTTGGTCCTTGAAATTGCTGACAAACTTCAGGTGATCCTCACAGGAGTAGTCCAGGAGTGTGCTGAAGTACTCATCCACCTCTTCCGGAGAGCGCAGAGACAGAATGTGCCTGAAAGTCAGGGAATTTCACAATGTTGGACAAGTAAACAAATATGTTTCTCAACTTACTGAACCATTTCCTCTGGAATCTCCAAGCCCAGGATGTTGGACAGACTCTCCTGCAGACCCTTATTCATCTTCTGAGTCTTTACACGATGAATTCACTGGGAAAAGGGCAAAATACCACGGAAAACACACCACGAAGCGCACAACGTGACAGTCAATCCGGCTCGCGAATGCGCCAATAAGAAAAGCGTACAAATGGCGAATGGACTCGTCAGTTGGACTTCCACACGAAAAGTCTTACCTTCAATGTAACGAATACTCTTATAAGGAAATATTTTAAAAGTTATATAAAACCCTATTTAATTGTTTTAGCTGTTTTGATTGAGGTTCTGGTGGACTTTGAAAATCCCTGGAGTTCATTTTAAACAAGCGCTCTCGTCTCTCTAGTCAAAAGACAGCTAGACACCAAAATTGCTCTGAATTAATCGAATTCTAGAGATCTAGAGCACTGCTGAAGGGTTCAGTTGGCGAGATTTGGCCAAAACTAGTTGGGCAGAGACAAAGAAATGTGGGGCGCTTGAGTTGAGAAAGCCAAGATCACCTACGGTTCTGCGAAGAGCGGAAATTTAGACCAAAACAAGCCACACCATTAATCACATGCGGAGATCGCTATTCCGTTACGCAATATGATAACGCTGCAGATGTGAAGCTGCGGTCGGGTGAGGTCACACCAAGAACCATCTGAGATGTTTTGCATAATATCCCAATATCCAATATTTCGCGCTGAATAATTCCCACAACAGCTATTCAGAGAGATAGCTTAAGCATTCTCCAGCATTCTCTTGAATATATATGTTTGAATTCTCATCTCTTCGCCAGCCCTGAGAGGCTGTGAATCACGGGAGAAAGAGTCTTTAGTGTCTCTTAATGTTTTGGATGAGGAGACTAGAATTAGAATCATGCAAATGGTAACGGTGATGTTTCCTTTGCAGAGGTGATATTTTCATTGCACACTCTGTCAAATTGGCTCCTTCGCAATTTAAACAGTCGCTGTTGTGTTTGCATAGCTCACAATGGAAGCATTTGTCGGCACGCGACTATGTATTTATGTCGTCATAAATAAGTAGCGACGTGCAGCAATAAAAGCCACCGTCTTCAGATTACAATGCTGACAAGGAGTTGCGCGTACGCTTTTCTTCTTCCCATTCAGCAATCTGAGTCACACTCAATTCTCTGCGGCGAGAGAAAGAAGAAGATGATCCACTTTAGTTGAAATAGTATTTGGAACAGAAATTGAAAGAGATTTTTAATTGTGATATTGAAGTGGAGGCAAAAAGCGATTGAAGAATGATTTCCGCTGTTTAAATTATCTCTCGTGAAACTTTTGAGCTCATTTCAGAGAACCACACACAGGTATTCCATCTGGCTTCAAAGAACTGTTGAGGATGCATAAAAGACGTACGAGTTCAATTCTATTGATGAACAAATGGCTGCTCGAACGGAACTCTTATGCAAGAGGCCAAAAGCACTTGAAACTGTTGAGAGTTGAGGGTCAATGAAATCCATTTTCCACGTACACTTTTCCATATTTGAATAATGCAAATTGAGCTGTTCAGTGCATGAATCGCGGAGAAATGATCTTAAATCTAAGAAGTGGAAAATAAGGCTACTTCCATTGATGATTTATTGCTGAGTTTTGACCTTTGTATTTATTTTAGAGAGTGTTAACCAAGTTGTGTGGCTCCAATTGATCATCGCTTGAGCGGCAATTAACCTTTTTTATTACGATAATTTTCTGTTATCACTGTGTAATTTCTCTTTCCACAATGAGCACATCAATTGCGCCCCCATGCAAATGAACTTGCTGGCGAAGAAAAGCATAAGGTGTTAAAATGGAGATGTTCAAATAGGCAATTAAACCTTGAACGAATTCAGCGATTTAACAGCGGTCAACGGAAGGAAGTACAAAAGCGATCGGTATAATTTCTTGGGCATGTCCGAAGGTGTAAAAGTAACAGTGAACATTTTCTAATAAATAAGCATTTCACATTTTTCAGACTAATTGCAATTGAGATGCTAATTTGAAGGCACTGAGCAGAGTATTCAAAAACGAGGCGTTCATCCAACCAAAGTGATTTTTACATGCCTCTTGAGGTCTCTAACACGAAGTAAAAGTTTTTCACATGCGCCACGAAATAGTGTACATTTTCATTGACTAACATTTAATCCAATTTGTGCTGTTGTAAGTCAAGAAGTATAAAAAAAAAATGTCCATAATCGACTTTCATTTTATGACCACTTAATGTGGCATTAGCATTTCTCATTCGTGGTTTTCAGTCATTTCCACTGGTAATTTTTGCTTAATTGCAAACCTCACTCCTGTGATATATTTCTAATTAGACCTTTTTTCCTGAAAATGCCACGAAAATGGAGAAATCCTCTTGACCATGAAGAAAATTTTCTGCTGAATATTCCAGGCAAGAAAAGATTGCGAGCATTTTGCGCAATGTTTTCTTCGTCTTCAATTGCGAGAAGATAAAATTTATATTGAATTAATCAAGTCTCTGAGATCGTGTAACATGAAATGGATTTTGTAATGATCAAAACACTCTTTTCTCCAACAGTTTTTTTTCTTCTTCTTTAGCGTCTTCTCCTTAAGCAGATCTCTCAATTCTCCCATATTTAAATAAAACATGCATGAAATAGCACAGCCACACGGAAATATTTTACCTTCAATAATGCCATTTCTCTGCACATGGCAATTAACGCATTTCCACCATTTCTTGGAGGGAAAATTTTCACGGAACGCAAAATGTAACACATTTTGCACTCCTACGCAATGTGTACGCATTTCTTCTGTCTTGTTATCTCCATGTGCCATTCAATGACTGTGGGGAAAATGGTTTTTCCACACATCAACAATGCATCTCTTTGCCACATTTTTTGTGCCCCATCAGCTCAATGCTCGCGAATATGATTGAATGGTGAATTGGAACATGATGCTACTCATGCCGAAGAGTCGTCGTGTTTTGTTTTACATCACCAAGGCATTAATTTCGCTGCTCAGCCGCCACAACGCAATGGTACGTGTGAACATGCCATTGTTCACATTACCTTACGTGGGTGCCAGAAGAGATCATGCGCCGGACTCTAAATATGATATCAGCACTGAGAGACGAAGAGTAAAAGTGACACTGGCGATGATGTTATCATCTGACGCCACACGATGTGGAAATACTGGCTTTCGCAGGTAAAAATGCAAGAATGACTAATGGAATGGGCGGAGCTTTGAAGTAGGCGTGTCCACTAATCACTTAACTACTTTATGCCCATCTATTATATCAATTTATTAGCATTATCTAGGGTATATTTTAGTGTATTAGATTCGAAATTCAAGTGAAATTTCAATCTATTTGTTGAATTTTTCCAATGATAATTGCCTCATCAATACAACATTTCATATAAACTGGGTGAATTTATATTGTATGAAAAGATTCTAACAAATCAATTAGAAAATATCGGATTTCCCCAAATTCCCCTTTGTATTTCTCAGGTTTCTCACTTTCTAGTTGCAAACAATACAAGACTGGTTTGCACTTTAGTTCAAAATTAGGGCATTATTCAGTTGTTGCCTCATGCCAAATTCAAGATGATCGAAACAGTTACTTTCTTTTGCATACAAGTTTCAGAGGCATAGATAATCATTTTGAATATGAATTCGGTAATTCGTATTTTTGTTCGTTTTCATACGTCAAAACGGTCAAAACTCAAATCTGCATAATGAGAAAGTTTAAAACATCGCAGCTAATCCAAAATATATATTTGTCATTTCCATCTTAAACATTTCGGGGCGAATGTAAACCGCATGTTATGTATTCAATTGCAAATTCTTCGCTTGTTGTTTTGATTCAAAAACTATATATGTTTTCGCCTCCTTTTTTGAATCTATCAAAATCTCTCCTCGGCGCGTGGATCGTCGAGGCATTTCACGCTATGTGACAGTGTCTTAAATAAAGTCGAGGTGGAAATACATGCACTTCATGGCTGGAATCTTGAATTTCTCATCACACCGCGAGCAATTTCACGCTTTGCATTCAAGTTCAAAATCACACTGTGAATTTGTGCCAAAATTTATGGGTGCAAGTTAGCAGAACCAAGCAGTGAAATGGGTTCGTCAAAATACCGCCTCTTCTGTCGCTCTTTTTTTTTCTTGCCTGACGCCAAGAAAGAACACATTAGATTTCGTACACCACACGTGATGTAGACCATGAATTTTTTCATCTTTCACTCCATGTTTTATTGTACATAAACTTTTTATCACAAAAATATAAAATGCATAAACATTTCTTTCTCTCCTCTCCCTTAATTCACCTTTTACAGTAAGACACAATTTGCATAGCGGGAGTTAAAAAGTGGCAATAATCATTTGTACAGAGACTAAAATGTATTTTGGAGCACTTGATGAACTTTCGGGGCGGCACGAGGATCACATTATGCGCTTAATGAGTGTCTGCAAAGTGGCAATTTGCAAGACGCGAAATTTACTCCTCTTCGATCACGCTAATGTGCCTCGTTTTGTGATCTCAATTAGGTGATAAAATATTAAGAGCAGTTAGCCAGATTTATTCCACCGCGAGTGCATCGAGCAAAAAGCCCAGCGCGATTTCTAACCGTGTGCCAGCGAAAGCAATTTCGTGATGGGAAATAATGTGGAACGCGAGTTTGTGACTCCAAAATGCGTTATACTGCTAATTCTAATTAATGACTCGTTTGTCGCCAAGAAATATTTGATTTGACCGGGTGTTTTGGGAAGGCACAGCACTGATGCCAGCGCTGGTGAAGAGTGTCAGTTAACGGAGAGTGGCATTCTGAAGGCGATTAAAAGAGTATCGTCTCTGACCTATATTTCCCAGGCGGGCAATGATTGCTATTTAACGATAGACACCTCTTTGACCAACCCATAAATGCTTAACCTCTCGTGCACTTCCCAGATGCATCTCAGCATCTGTCGCTTCGGGGAGGCAAATTCATATGCTAATCCCACTTGTAATCTTCCTCATTGCCTCTTCTCATCACATTTTATCATCTAACAGATATTTTTTTGTTGAATGACTGACTAATTTTTGCATACCGTGAAGATGAGCCGTATCAAAATATTCATGCAGAAAATTTTCCTTTTGAAACCACACTCAATATATTTCCCCTTTGCCAACGTGATGAAGAACT